CTGAGAGTGGTATTCACAGTGGTAGAAATCCTCAGTTTGAAATTAGAGTAAGTTTTCCTATGGAGACAATGTTATAAACGGATATCAAGTTCCACTGTAGAGTTCTGTAGTTCAGCAGCAGGCTTGGTGATGGAGTTTGGATGTGCTGTCCCCTCCAAAACTCATGTGGAAATTTGACCCCCAAAGTGGCAGTGTTGGAAACTGATTGAGTCATGGGGGCGGATCCCTCATGAATGGATTAATGCTCTCCCTGGGGTAGGAAGGGTAGTGAGTGAGTTCTCGCTCTATTAGTTCCCACAAGAGCTGATTGTTTAAAGGACCCTGGCACCTCCTCTCTTTCTCTCTCTTGCTTCCTCTCGCCATGTGATCTGCTTGTACCTGCTGGCTGTCTGGCACTTTCCACCAGGAGTAGAAGCAGCCTGAGGCCCGTGCCAGATGCAGCTGTCCCAGAATCGTAAGCCAAATAAACCTCTCTTCTTTATAAATTACCCAGTCTCAGGTATTCTGTTATAGCAACACAAAACGGACTAAAACACTTGGGAAATAATCATTCTTTATTTAGAGCATTATTTCAATGGAAAAATGCATATTTAAGTTTTAAATGATTAGTTAACAAATGCCCGTTTGGAACAGAGCCACCAGCAATACAGTTGACGTATTGGGGATTGCCTGTGCTATTAGTTCCGTCAGTCACTCCAGCCCCTGCCTTTGATTCCTTTGTAAAGTATGTCTGATTTGTAAATGTCCTCACTGCAGGAACCAGGACTTAATCTCTCTGTCCCTGTCCTTGCATGCCACTCTTTGCACAGGCAGTGCTTGAATCTGTGTATGGCTGCCTTCTGGGGAGACGGTCGCTGGATGTGGGGAAGGCAAAGGCCTGAGTCTTGGTTCTGCTGTTTACCGCAGCAGTCCGCGGAGACTCCCAGACCCCGGTTCCTTACCTGGGAATTCTGGATGATGCCAGCGGCCCTCCCCTTTACAGAAAGTGCTGTTGTAAGGACCAAGTGAGATAAAGAACGTGAGCATGTGTGCACGTGTTCCCCTGTGAGCCACCTGATCGTCTTGTGGGCTTCATGCTCCCTCTTTTTCTGCTCATTTCTTCATATTCTGTAGTAGGATTTTTTACATCTCTCTTGGTCAGTTTTTGACCTCAAACGTGGCACCTGTTGTCTGTGTGGGGGCTGGCTGTGGATTTTTTCATGTAGAGAATTGTGGACATTTCCAAGCTATACTCATTAATATCCATGGAACATTCATCCAAGTACTTAAATTCATTTATGCTGTTTATATGTTTAAAATGAGGTCCGTAAGCAATATTTTCCCCATAATATAGACATAGAAAACAAAGTCTAGTGACTCTCAGACTCAGAGCAGAACCCACCTTTTTGAATATGAAACAATTAAATTCTGTTTTTATCATATATGTTGTTAGTTCCCCTTCGTAAATGGATTTTAAAATATTTGTTATAATATACACCTTTGACATTTCACAATACCCATAAATGAAAGAATGGCAGTGTTTCCTGGAATGCTCAAGCCTTTTACTGATATTGTGTTTTCCTCAAATAATCTGTGATGTGATTTCCTAAGTACAGTAAGATGCCCAGAGTGGGGTTTCCTTGCATTGCTTGGCTCAGTTTTTCCTGGAACATCGTGTGAAGGCTGAGATTTACTCTGCTTGAGTGAGATCTACTCCATCATCACCAAATGAAATCTTGTAGAATGTGTGGCGATAAAACAAGCATATTGTGGACTTGAGTTTAATAATGTTTTCTGCTTTTATGGCACTTTTTTTTTAATAGTGGTTACTGTTATTTATTAATATTGAGCCCTTTTCTCATCAGTGCTGAAGTGTCTCTGATAAAAATGTGCTTGGGATGAATAAGAATTATTTTATACCATCAAGATACTGGGGCTCAGAGCAAATAGGCCCATTAAGTGTATAATATTGATAAGCCCTTGATTGGTATCCAGGTACAAACTACTTCAATTCTCTTTTACGGAAGCGGAGGCCTAGACACAGAGTCAGAGTGATGGGTGAGTTGGCGATCTCCAGGGTGCTCACTGGTGGCTTTAGGAGTAATGATTACTGTATATGCTGTAATTAATTTATAGTTAATATTTAGGTCATTTCTAATTTTTGTAGATAATACTGCAACTTTTTTTGTGCTCTGTTTTTTCTTTTAACTACATTTTTAGGAATGGAATTCCTGAACCTATGGGTCTTGTTATAGTTTGTAATTTCCTTTCCATAAGAGGCACGTTCATTCGTAATGTTACCAACAATGTGTATTCCTTATTAGTTTCCTAAAACACCTTACCACCTGTAAAGATTTCTAAAATATCTGTAGAGCGACTGGACAGGACAGCCATTTCTTCTCGGTGCCCACTTCAATGAAGTCCTAGTGATTCCCTGCAGAGCTGGGTTGAAAAGATTTTGAGGCCCTTTCAGTTTCAATAAGATGATGTGTCCTGAATTGATGGTAATATTCTGCTTGAGATCATGAGGTGGTTGTGATACATTTGTCTAGGGGTTACCATTCTTTTATCTTAAGGGGTAGGGAACTTGAAGTAGTCGGGGAGTGAATCAAGTACTTTGTCTTGGTTTTCATAGACTGGTGGTGCCCAGAGGTTTATGTGGCAGCAGCTGAAAGTTTGTGGTTCCGATTGCATAATTATAGATTTACATGTGATTAATAAGTGTGACCATTCAAACAGCAGAGACTGTCATCTCACAGTAAGTGGTTGTTCTCAGAGAATTGTGTTATGGGAGGACATCAGAGGAGGGATGCATTTCCCTGGGAGTTCAGCACATACCCGGCATCACCCGTCCAGGTGAGCAGACAGTGAAACACTGACGGTCCCACAGGCAGGATTTAACTCAGCTCTATTCCTGGTTTGTGGAATCAGAATTAGTTTATTCTGATGCCTTCCAGAAGTCAATAGTGTGTCCCCCTTTCATCACTGTCAAAACTACAGCAGCTGTATCTTCAGAACACTTGAGGTCACTGAGTAATTTGAGCTACGCCAGGTGAAACCAGAAAGCAGTGATAAAAGTACTCCTTGTGAGTTCTGGGAATGGGCCTTATTTTAAAGACATTTACATTTGGCAGGGAGTCTGATGTGACCTGGTAGAGACTTAAGAGGATTTGACTGGGCCTCAGAAAACTTGAGTTCTGACTCTACCAACCAGCTGTGTGACCTTGAGGAAGTCATGCAGTTTCCTCTTTCGCAAAACTGGGGAATTGGATAAGATGGCCTGTGGTATTCTCAGAATCTTACGAAGTGGACAAATATGTACACACACGGATTGCCATCGGTGTACTAAAACTAAAGTGGCCTTTAGAGATGGGATCAGCCACGACCATCCTCTCTCGCCCTGTCTCTTAACAGACTCTTCCCCCTGCGGGCTTTATCCTCTTGGCCTGCTTCCCACCTGTGTGTTCTCAGGTGTGGTGGTTGTCACCCACCCGGCGTTGTGCTTGTGTGTGTGGGTCCCGGTCCCACGAGGTTGGGGCCCGAGGCAGAGCGGCCATCCGTGGGCGGGGTCTGCCCCCTGTGGCCGGCCGGGGCACAGCAGCCGTCCTGGGAGCCGGAGGCCGGAGGTCCGAGCGGTGCGGTCCCGGCTGTCGCTGTCGCGAAGCACTGGCCAGAGAGGATGCACTGTGAGACATATTCAAACGTTGCCTGTCCTTTTGTCCTGTTGTTTCTTAACTATGAAGTCTATAAAAGTGAGAAATATTGTGAGTCAAATTGTTAAAAAAAAAAGGGACCCGAGCGCACTTGACTGGGAGACGAGCGGCTGCGTCGGTCTGCGCGGCTGGTGCTGTCGCTGTTAGGAAAGCGAAGGCTGGCGTTTTGGCTCGAGCCGCTGGTGGGAGATGATGCGTAGCGTGCAACCGATGTGTTGTCACCTTCAGGGGCGTTTGGGGGTGGCCGTGCAGGATCTGTTGCGCTGCTGCGGGACTTGGGCCGGGCGTTTGGAGCAGAGCCCTCGGGTGGAGTGAAGCGAGGGGCGCCCAAGCGGCGGCCCCAGGGCAGCGTCTGCACCGTAAGACGCGGAGTCGGGGAGCCCCGAGAGCGGGCGCCCTGCACGCGAGCCCGACGGGCCGGGGCGCCGGGACCTCCAGGCGGCTCAGAGGAGCGGCTTCTCGGCTCGGAAGCAGGGGGAGCCCGGGTGTCAGCCGAAAGGGGACCAAGGGAGGCGACAGAGGACCAGAGCTTGGGAGGCGAGGGGTGTGCTGAGCTTCCGGCGCCCACCCCGCCGCACCCAGCGCCGCCCTGGGACTCCCGGAGGCCAGGGAGGGCTGGATGAGCGCCTGGTGGGCTGGCGAGGAACGAACGAAAGAACGAACGAACGAGAAACTGCAGGGAAGAAAGCCAGGAACGAGCGTGCTCACGGTGGCAGAGGCCCCCGCCCCACTGCTCGCCCTCAAGGGGCACAGCTGCGGGAAGGGGCCTTTTCTTGGCCTTCGAGGCCGGGCTGGGGCACCGTAGCTCCTCGGTTTTCAGTCCCTCGGGGGTGGCATGGACTGAAGGATGGCAAGGATCTGCCCACCCACGGGGGGCTTCCAGACAACTGAGACGGAGAGAACTGAGCTGTGGTTCAGGGTCGGCGGAACCCACACGGGAGGCGCAGCTCAGAAATAAATAGCGGCGGCGTCGGTCGCGATCTTAGGCGCTGACGTTCCCACTCGCCCTCACCTCCTCGACCTCTGCTCATCGACTGGCACCCACGCGCCCGGGCACAGCCTCGGTGCTGGGTTTCGCCGAGCTGGACGCAGTGCGGCGGCTGTCGCCGGGTGCAGAAGGGGTTTCTGATGAGTACCACAGCCACCTCCCTTCTTTCCCCCGTGTGTCCCCAGTCACAGGATCGAGAAGGAGTAGAAGTAACTCAGGTTGCTGGTTGGCATTCCAGATCTCAGTTCATATTTCAGCGTATGACGAAGAACACATTTCTCTGAACTTCAACGTTTTCTCCTTGATCTCTTGGCTTTTAACGTTACACCTTTAGTGTAAGAACGATATCACAATTTTCTCCTTCCCTCGCTAAATGTCTTGTTTCCCCTTTGTTTATAGATCTCATCATGTCTCCCTGATCCTTTGAAATGAGAATACATTGACAGTGATGTCTCTGTGTTGCTGAAGTCTTGGAATCTTGTATCTTCCGGCTTTGTCACCTCTCCCAGAAGAGCGGCTGTTAGCAACTGAGGGCAGTTGCTTTGCTTTGTTCTACTTTCTGGGCAATTTCCTGACTTTCTCTTCTAATTCCTCCTTTGAAATTTTAATTTCTAACATCACAGCATCCTGCTTTTCTTTTCTTTCTTTTTTTTGTGAGCATAACTGTCTGGAATTTCTTGGTTGAGTGTTTATTTTTAAAAGATTAAAATGCAAACTGAAAGCTCTCTTTGCACCAGGGGCTTGTTGACTGTGCACATATGGCCTTTAGTTGGGGGACCCCAAATATCGGGATCTGGAGGACTGTTTTCTCCTGCCTGGAGGGGAGCCCTCACTGCTTCTGCCCCATCTTCTGCAGCTCAGGGTCAGTGGCACCTGGCCCCTTCCCTAGCTGTGCCCAGTGTCCCCAAGTGCAGCTCCTGTCTGATGCAGGTTTCCTGGAGAGTAAACTTTCCTGCTGGAATGTGGGAGGATCCGTCACCTGGTTATGTGGCCTGGGGCTCTAAGGGTGCGTTTCTGTGCATCCTTTCAACTGATTCTGTTTTCATCCTTGTCCACCAATTCTGAATATTTTCTGGGATTCTGTAGCCTGGATTGACTGCTTCTCATTGGCTTTCCTCTCTGCCGGCACTTCGGTTTCAGCTTCTTTCTCAGGGACCACTCCTCCTCCTGGATTTTGTTAGTATCACTTGTCTGGTGTTGTCTCTCCTATCTCTGTGACCTTGTGAATTTGTGTCTTTTATTTCTTAAACTCCCTTACAGGGGGTTGGAAGGGAAGGGATATAAACGTGTGTATTCAATTTCCAATATGTAACTGGACCCCTATCCTAATCAGCCTCAAAGAATTATTTAATAGAGAAAGCTCCAAGACAACACCCTTACATAATTAAGCAAAACTGGAGGTTATTATCCAGCCATCAGAGTCTAAGGAGAAAATTTTAGAAACGTAGAAATTAGAATTCATAGGTCTTACAGGGTGATACTTAGAGAAGTAAATTACATGTTTTTTGAGTGCTGAAGTTTTGACCAAAATCAATTCAGTTTTTACCAGAACAATGTGATGTGTTACTTTTCTAGACCCCTCCCCAAATTTCCAAATTTCTGGAAATACAAGTATTGTGAACATGCTTGTTCTAGGTTAATTATTATGTATATGTGGATGTGTTTCTAAAACTTATTTTTACCACATTTCTTTTCTTTCTTTGAAAGCAATACAATTTCATTATAGAAAATACTGGTGAGAAATAGAAGAAAAAATTCCCGCACCTCTTCCCCCAATCCCATCAACCAGAAATAACCACTCATGTCCTCTGGTTATATGTTTATGTGAGGTCAGGACTGGCACCTTGATTGTCTTCACGGCTGTGTCTCGTTCTTTTCCAGGACACTGGGGTTGGGAAATCAAGCATCGTGTGTCGATTTGTCCAGGATCACTTTGACCACAACATCAGCCCTACCATTGGGTAAGTACCTGTATGTTCTTCCCTGTCACATGGCTTCGGGGAGGTCACTCTGTGCCTAAGCCTCAGGCAGTGCCAGTGTTCATCACAGCCCATGAGAATCCATCCCAACTGTAAAGTCCTGAAATTCAGGACTTCTGGGCTGTGTGTCTGGGCTTACTGTCCCTGGCAATAATTTTTTTCCTAGGCAGGCTTCCTCATCCTGCGGCCTAAGGCCATTTCCTGATACAGTAATGCTGCAAAAGCATTATTCTGCAGATCAGGTCAGCTTTGTTGCCAGGCGGAAGATGATACATGGCAAATCCCTGATGAGTCTGCCTTAATTTGCTTACTAGTAAACCCTGGAAATACTGTCCAGCCACACATCAGAGCTGTCTGGACAGTCTATGGAGGAGACTGATTTTCCTCTCTGGATTAATCTAATGTCAGCATTTCCGCTCTTCTTAAGTGTGGGGAGGGATGGGAGTGAATTCTTCAAGTCTGAGCCACTGACCTTGGAATGCAGCAGTGTTTTCATGTGCTGTCTCCCCATTGCTATGAACTCTTCGGCCAAATGTGCTTTTGCTGTTCTGTTTTGCAGGTTCTTGCTCTTTAAGCTCTTATAAGTTGGCCTCATTTATTTTTCACCCTGAAGATGTCGTGCTGTTTGTGAGAGCAAGGTTTTGTTTTTCTTAGAAGGGAAACAGTGTGTTTGTATATTTTGGGGAACCTGTAGGATTGTTGAGGATGATTTTTGAGAAAGGTGTTCTGTGTCATAAGTGGAGAAAATTCATGACAGAGAGAATAAGTAGATGCTGAAGAGTACTTGGTTGATAGGCCAGTGGTTGGAACTGTGTAGGGGAAAAATTCATCATATTTCATAGTTAAAAAATGGCTTAAAGAAACATGTTTATGAAAATATGTGTCAAGAATTATGAAGAGTCTGAGATTTTACACTACCTGCAGGCTAACAAGTTAGCCTGCCCTGGTTTCACGGATGCTGGCAGAAGACATGAGACCCTTGGGTCAGAGACAGAGGCAGTAGCAGTAGCCAGAGCATTAGCATTTTGCATCGGTTCCCTGAGCCCCAGTTTCCCATAGGGTGATGTGAAGAGGCAGATGACACCTCACATGCAGTGGGTTGCTTTATGGGAGAGGAACCCCAAGCTTACGGAACCCAAATCTTGTATACCAGGCAGTGAGCATGTCTGTCCTTAACTCCCTCTTCCACGGCTGCTTGCTATACAAATACCCTGGAAAAACAGTGCCTCTGCTCACAAGGTGTGTGCAATTCTAAAGACCCATGGAGAATCATCTCCCAACATTGATCGGCACTTGAATAACAGGTGCAGTTTTTATAGAGGAAATTCTTTTTGCTCTTCTCTAGGATATACTTTTTTTCTCCTTATTTTTTCACTTTGTGTTTCTTGATAGTAAAAGCAGAACTCATAAGAAAGAGTAACTGTGAAGTGTGGTTTGTGGACTTTCACCTTCTACTTTACGAACTTTTGTTAAAAATTTTTGTAAACAAATATGTATTCTTTTTATAATGATTTTTTTAGACATAAAAAGTCAGTTCATATTTTTATCACAAATTATGGTCAGTACATAAAAGTGTTAAGTGTAAGCGTTAAGCATAGTATAAGCATCGTTATACCTGTAATAGGTATATCATTTTGGTCACTGTCTGTTGGTCAAAGCAAGTCAATATGCCAGCCTGGATTCAAGGGAGGGGAATAAACTCCACCTTGTCGTGGATGGATACTTGGTAGTCATTTTGGAGACAACCAACCCCAATTGACAGTGCTTTGTCTAGTAAATGCATTTTGATGGTTTTGGATTTTTAAAAATTTATGCATTATATGAACACTCTCTGTACTTTCTGTTCCCTTCACTTTTTCTGTAAACCTAAAACTGACCCCAAAATAGCATCTATTAATTAAGAAACTAAGTCTTAGTTTTTTAAATTATAATGTTCATTTGAAAAAATTCAGACCATACAGAAATATATAAAACAAAAAGTGAAGTCAGAGGATTTCACTAGCTCTCCAATCACATATTCTTCAGTTTATATAACCTATATTTAGAGTTCAAAGTGCATGTTTAACATATTTCTTATAAGCATTTTCTATGTATATGCAGGTATACAAATAGATAATGTCTAAAAACAAAAATGTATCACACTCTACCTAACATGCCACAGTGCATATCCCTAGTCTGTGTAGGTTTTCCTTGTTCTTTTTGATGGCTATCTGTGCATTTCTGTGACAGAGCCAAGATTAAAGTCTAATTTTTCTGATTATAGAAGTTCATGTTCACTCTAAAAAAATCCAAAAAACACAGAATTTATAAAAATAAGAATCCTAGTATATATAGTTTTTATCCTGTGTTCTCTACCTAATATATTTTGAGCATTTTCTTATAATGTCACATAATCTTTAAAACATGATAAAAATAATTTTTTCTGCTTGTAAAACTATGATGTACTCATTATAAACAACTAAAAATGAAGAAAAATATAAAAATTACCCATAATCTACCCCTCAGAGGTAACCACTGTAAATATTTGGTGTACTTTCTTCCAGTCTTTTTCCTGTGTGTGTGCGAGAGATCTTTTTTTCACTCAGCATTATATTCTGAATTTCATGCCATTAAATAGTCTTTAAAAACCATGATTTTTAATGGCCGTATTTTCTATTTAAGGCATGTAGTTTGTTTAAAAACATTTTGACTTTTATTTGCAATGTTATGATGTATGTCCTTGGGCAGAGTTACTTGTGTGTACCTCTGATTATTTCCTTAAGTTAAATTCTTAGCAATGGAATAATTTAGTCCAAGAATAAGAACATATTTAAGGCTCTTAATGGATATTGCCAAGTTATTTTTCAAAAGGTTATCTCTATTTTTCGGTATACTCACCAGCTTTAGGTATTATTTTTAAAAAATTTGAATGTATGATTTTGAATCCTGTTCTTTTCCTCTAAACTTCAAACTTGAGCATTTTGTCATACCTTAAAGTTCCCTCCTGACGTTCTTCTGTGTGCTGTTCTGCCTTCTCCTTCATTCCTCGCTTTTTCTCCGGATACGGTGTTAGGCTCAGCTCTTCCAACCTTATGTATTGTCTTTACCTAACATAGTTTAATCTCCTAATTTAAAATTTGCTCAGAATTTGCCCTCTGGAATTTTAAGAAAATGTTTCCAAACCCCAGTTTCAGAAAAATAAAGCTAGCGGGAATACTTTCTAAAGGAAACGTACAGATGTCTCACAAGATGGCTTAAATGGAACACTTAAAAAAAGCTTGTGTGCTTATCTCAAAGCTGGTAGATTCAGTGGGCTGGGAATTTGGCTTATAGATTTGTCAAAGTCACACGGTGCTTTAAAAATTTTAAGTCAATATTGAAGCACCAGGAAATTACATAATAAGACTGCATTTCTGGCTTCTTGTGAGGAATCAGTGGGTTTGGAGCACAGGGTGCCGGTGCCTACATGGCAGTCACTGGCAGGAGCTGAGCCGCAGCCAATCCCTGTGGGTGGGCAGACTCTCTCCACATCATTCCCACTATTTGTTACTATTACAGTCATGCGTTGCTTAAGGACAGGGTTCCTTTCTGAGAAATGCCTCCTTAGGTGATTTCGTGGTTGTGGAAAAGTGTGTTATGAAAGGGAACAGCAATGAATTTTCCTGTTGTCTACACTGGCCACTAGTTGCATGAGGGTGGGTCCTCCATTATGTTACTAAGTCTCTCTGTGCCCCACACTTTCCTCGTTTGTTAAATGGGGATTAGAATAATACCACCCCCGCAAAGTTATGAAAATTAAATTACAGGTAGGGGCTGTGCCTGGCACTCAGCAAACACTAAGTGAGTGGTAGTAACTAATTATGATTTTCCTATGGGGATGGGTGGGAATCATTTCCAAGTGCAAGAACTTGGGGTCAGACCTCATGTGTCAGATGCTTGGCTTTCTACATTAAAGGTCTGAGCTACTTTGGGAGGGTCACCTGTGGGTTAGCTGGGCACTCCTCCTCAATGTCTTTTGCAGTGGCTCGTTTACACCAGCATCACCACAAATGTGAGTGACATGTTGCACAGTGACCTCACTATGGCCTCTGGGCCGTAGGAATTTCTCAGCTCCATTGTAATCTTAAGGGACCACCATCATACAGTGGTTCGTCGTTGACTTAAACGTCGTTATGCGGCACATGACTGTATTTTATCAGTATTACCTTCACACCTGACTCACTTCGCTCATTTATATGTCTTATCTGGTCCCATAGACATTTCAGATCACATCCCGGGCCCATGTGTCTTCTTCACAGTAACCCTGCTGGCCTCCCCAAGAGTCAGAGCGGGTGGGTGGCTTATAGCCGTGAGAAGCAAGCTCAGGACTCAAACCACGTGAGTCCACTCCCAAAGTCCACGGTCGTTCTTCCCACAGGACTCACCCTGTCATTGGCAAAAGGCCATAGGCTTAAAATGCCATTGTTTCAGCATCAAAAGAGTTAATTCTTGTCACCTCAGGAACACAGGTGCATGCACGTGTGTGAGATACACATGGATTACTAAGGCTGTCCCTCCCAGCTCGCCGTGCTTCCAGGGGGAATGTTCATGTGTCCATCTCCTTACCTGGCCCTGCAACAACAACCTCTCCACCACGCACAGTCAGTGTTGGCATGTTTCACAGATGAGGAAACTGAGGGGCTAAGTGCTCACTCGATTCAGACTGGCAGTGGGGGGCCTCTGGATTCTGTTCCTGACTGTGCCATTAGACTCTTTGACTGGAGAGAAGGCAGTCTTTTGGGATTCGGGGTTTTTTCTCCCTTATCTGTACAGCAAAGGGGTTGGACTGGATACTTTATATTTTTTCCAGCTCTAAAAGTCTCTCATTCTAATAATTTAAAGACATGAACTTTATTTTCTAAGCCTGAGGAGAACTTTTTTTTTTTTTTTTTTTTTTTTGCGACAGGTAAGGGGATCGTAACCCTTAGCTTGGTGTCTCCCGCACCGCGCTCAGCCAGTGAGCACACCGGCCATCCCTATGTAGGATCCGAACCCGCGGCCGCTGCGCTCCCAGCAACGCACTCTCCTGAGTGAGCCACGGGGTTGGCCCAGAGAACTTTTTAAGGGCAGAGTTGATGTATTAGTTATCCCAGTGCATAGAATATATTGAAGAATGATTGACAATCTGTATTCCATCAAAGTTAAAACAAAATAAGTACACAAAAACAAAATATTGATATAGTTGTCTACATAAACTTTTCAAATGCCTTTATGAAAAAAATTCCATCCTCAAAGTTAAAGGGCAAATGTTGAACTAGAAGAATATCATTTAAAATATATTATCACAGAAGGTTAGCATAAAATACTCAAAAAATGAATAAGAAAAGGACGGACACCCTGGTTGAAACGTGAGCAAAGGTCATGAACTAGAGATTTACAACAGAAAAATACAAATGAACAATAAACATTAAAATGATGGTTAAACTTCTAATAAGCACAATAAAAACAGGAGTGAGATATCATTTTCTACTTATCATATTGGAAAAGATTTGAAAGATTAATAATGGTTGGGGAAAAGGTCACCTTATACACTGCTGTGGGCATGTAGGTTGGTGCAGCCTAAGTCTGGCATATGCAGCTTTTAAGAATTAAGCCTAAGGAAATCATTGTACAAGGACACCGAGATAAAGGTACAAGGGTAGTCATTGAATCTTTGTCATAATAGTGAGAAATAGGTAACCAAGATGACCATCAGAGGGGTATTGAATAAATTCATAACATGGTGTATAATATTGTCATTTTAGATAATGATATTGACCTGTACTCATAGAAATACAAAGTTTTCCATGATATATAAAGGCAAGAAAAAACAAATTTATGTAGAGTATGGTCCATTTTCAGGGTAAAAGTTGTATTGAAAAAACTGGGAAAGACATTTACCAACTTACTAGCAGTGACTGTGGCTAAGTGGTACGATGACGGTTCATTTTGATTTCCTTCTTTATTTTCAGTTAATGAATTTATTTTTGTGTGAAGTACATATATTGCTTCCATAATGGCAAAAGTAATAAAGATATTTCCATTCTTGGAATGTATTTGCTATAGTCAGTAGTCTGGGATATATATTTTAAGCACTTTTAAAGAAGCAAAGGAATAGATATGGTTTTGATAGTATTGGATCACAGCACTTACAAAAATACTTAGCATGACCACCACTCAGCGCAATTGTCGGTGGATAATCAGAACTTTCTAACTACTAACTTTGGCATGTGTACGTATGTCGTTGGGGTAGGGTAGGAATGGCAGGGGCAATTCCACTGCTTTTCTACTTGGGACTTGTATAGTTTGCTTCTCGGGAGAATTAGAAGTCAAGGAAGGCTGCTGCGATGCGTGCTGCGTGGGGCAGGGCTGGACTCTGAGCTGGACTGGGAGGGCCAGGCTGGGCCACGGGAAAGTAAGGTGAAGGCAGCCTGACTCTACACCCCTAAAACCCCAGCGTGCATCTCCTGAGAAGAAGAACATAAGGAGAACACCATTATTGTACCTAGAAAATTAATTTGATTCACTGATAGCTCTCATGTAATCCAAATTTAAATTTCTCCAGTTGTCCTTAAAATGTCTTTCAAAACTTCCCCCTAATCCAGGATACAGTCAAGGCCCATATGTTTATTTCATTTGGTTATTTTCTCTCTTTTCTCTCAGTCTAGATTCTAGAAAAATCTCCCTGCCATTTGTTTTGTTTGCTTTTCGTGACATTGAAGCATTCAGGCCAGCTGTCCTGTAGAATGTTCCGCATCCTATGTTTGCCTGGTTGTTTCCTCATGATTAAGTGCAGATTAAACATTTTGGGCCAGAACCCCGCATGGGTTGATGTGTGCCCTCTTCTTCCAGCACTTCAGGAGGCTTCTTACATCAGCTTGTCCCACTACCTGGGATGCTTGGTATTTTTTAGTGAACGGGACACTTTACCTTAAGGAAGGTATTATGCTATTAAACATTCAAACATTAAACAAGGCTATTAAACATTCCTTGTTGTTGGATTTTTACACCTTTCATGAGCACAGAGAAAAAGCTTATTAAGAGGAAATATGCAAAAAAGAAAACAGCACATGTTTATGATCTACTGAGACTTTAAATCCTTCCTTTTTATAGAGAAAACAAATGCTTGTTAAGTTACTAGTCTTTATCCCTGCACTTATGCAGCCAGGTTGGGACTCAGAGTATTCCGTTAGTTGCTGTCGGTGTTGGATCCATATCAACACAGGTAAATATGTAAGGCAGTTTTCTTTTTGTGCCATTGCAAGACCAAAACCATAACATGCCAGAATACCAGCTGCCTTTGTCACTTAACTGTTGTAATAATAAGTTTGTAATATCTAAGTTTATATTCTTTCCTGAGATCTGGGGAATATCATCTTAGAACAATTGAAGCTGTTTTTGGAAACAGTCTTCTGAATGAGTTCTCTGGTTCTTTTTCGTGTTTGAACCTCCAATTGGACTCACAGAAAACGCAGAACACTGTGTGGCATGTTTCCTTTGGGTGGCATGATTGAAACGGCCCGTCTTTCCTGTTAGCAGCTGAGGACAGGAGCTTTTGAGTACTGCCGAGGCACAGCATTAACTTGACACATGAGTCTGTGAAGATTGCAGGGAGTGACTAGTAATGTGCAGTGTCCGCTTTCTTTCTTTTTCAGGGCGTCTTTTATGACCAAAACTGTGCCTTGTGGAAATGAACTTCACAAGTTCCTCATCTGGGACACTGCTGGTCAGGAACGGGTGAGTACATGCTGTTCTTGGCTTTCTTGAGAAAATACGGAGATCAGTTTCTGAGGTTTTCTTTGTATTAGGCAAGACTCTTGGTTGCAAGTAACAAACCCAGTTTGAAATGACTCAAGCAAAAAGGAAATTCACTCTTCAGCTATGTGGAAAGTCTCATGGGGTACTTAAGGTGAGGCAGGGCTGAGTTCAAGTCTCCCAAATGCATTGTCAGAGGTGCCCATCTCACTCTATTTCTATTTATTTCCAGTTAGTGCAGTTGTAGGCTGTATGCTCCACTGGCTTTCTTTTTTTTTTTTTTTTTTTAGGCAAACCTCCCTCCCTGCCTTCCCCAGGGGTGGCCAGGATGGCCCCATAAGCAATTCCATACCAACATGCTGCCATTTAGCAACCCCAACAAGGGGAGCACCTTTCCCGTGTGTTGGAACTTGCCTGTGGGTCAGTGACTGTAGGGGTCTCACTGGCCTGCTCTGGGTCATGTGCTAACTCTGAATAATGCTGTACCATGTTCAGGGGGATTTGGTGCCCCTACTGGTAGGGCAAGGAAATACAGTTGCCCCTAGAGGTAGGGGCTGATATCAGCCCCACATGAACCACTTTGGCTCGAGGTGAGGTGGGCTTAGTTCCCCAACCAAAATCTGGGATCTCTTACTGAAAAATGGGAGAATGGATGCTGGGACTTCTCTCTTATTCTTAATTGTCTTTATTTACTGAAGATATTTATGGAGAAGATTATATATTTAAGAAACTCATGTCTTTAGATTTAAAAAAAGGGAAATAATGAATACCAACACTATAACAGGGTGACTATAACAGGGTGATTTGTGTAATAACCAGAGTACATATGATCAAAGTCCAAGGGCAGCCAGAATAAATAAAACACAGAGATAACCAATACCTTGTCTTAATCAAGAGCTTTCAGCGTGATCAAAACTTTTATCAGAGTTGATAATTATGGGGTAAAATTGGTTGAACTTTCTCTTGCCTGATCCAAACTGAAATGTCACCTTCTCCACCTACCCTATTTAATGTGTCAACACTTCCTTTCCACCCTTCTCCACGCACTTTCTACTTTATTCTTCTCCCTAGCTCTTAACATCTTCTAATATACTGTTCAGTTCACATATTCTGTTTATTGTTTCTCTCTCTCTCTCTAAAAGGAAGAATCCAGGGCTTGGGATAATTCATAATTTTCATTATCTGCTCTTAACTAATCAAGTATTAGTTTATATAATTTTCATTTTATGTAAGTCCCCTTTTAAAACTAAAGTTGCAGCATTTGTAGATAAGACATTTCAAAGATTTTTTTTAATTGGGATGAATCTTCTAGCCTACAAATGGTAACCTCATTAGAATGTCTTCTATTTTGCTGCTTAATTGAGAGCACAGACTTTTGCACACACAAAGCAATTGCCCGGGGCACCTCTTTAACTCCGTCAGTCAGCTGTGCCTGCTGATTTCCAAAATGAGGTGACAGATTTGACGAAAAATGTCTGCTTATGGGTCTCACTTCTTTATATACTTATGTGTTCCTTGTAGTTGATCTGCTAGTTTTTCTTTTTTTTATTGTTATTTAAACTTAAGCAGAGGTTTTCCTTTTCCACTTTTTACCATGCCATGAAATAGTCACTTTTGCAGCTGCTTTTAATGAGTGTAAGTCAGTTTTGCAAATAGCTGGCTTGGTGTTAGCAGTATTACTACTTCTACTACTGGCTGTTTCCTGATGACTTTCTGTGTTCCATGCACTGTTCTGCCTTACGTATGCTAACGCATTTAGCCCTCTCAAAAGCACTGCGAGGTAGTGACTTTGTATCCCCATTTACACATGAGGTCATCAAGGCACAGAGAGGTTAAGTAACTTGTTCAAGATCATACAGCCAGTAAGCGTAAAGCTGAAATTTGAATCCAGCAGTCTGGGTCCTGAGCTTTATAGTTTTGTTTTGATAGAAAAGTCACATAAAAGCCATATGGTTGAAAGTAAAATTATCCAAACTCTCACCACCCAGATATTTCCACTATTGATATTAGATGATTATTCTTCAGATATCTCTCTTTGTGCATTGATAATTTTATATCAATGGGATCATGATTCTTTATAACCTGCTCTTTTCATTTGATAATACAGTGTTGATAAGTAGAGATTTCTGGGTGATCTAAAAGAGCATTTGACATTTATTTTACCTATTCTAATATAATATTCAAGGGGTTGATTGTTTTTATAAAATTTTGTACTCTGCTAAAATGACTATTGTAGTCTATAATTTGGCTCATTTACCATCTCAAATAAAAAAAGCAATGGGAAATTTTCAGATAACTGTATTTCTAATTATTGTAATGCTTTTCCTAAAATTTTACTGTTAGAGGTTGTAGACATCTGTGACTGTATTGATATATCCATAATTTTTAAAAGCACAAGTATTAAATCTGCAAGACATGATTCTATAGTAGTGATATTCTTCCTTTATATCTCAGGGAAGAAGAATTTAGTTTTGGATAAAAATTTCAGGTGAACATTTTCAGAATCTAGATTTGTAGCGAGTATGTGAATGAAACCTGTGTGGCCTTCATGGTCATCTGATCCCTCTAACCCTCGAAGGCCTGATTTAGTTATTCTCAGGCTGTCCTTGTCTGGTGTCCCTTGGTGGAGTCTCACATCTCTCCAGGGATGGCAATTTTTCAGTTGTTTTGGAAGCTTGTTGCCGCCTTTAATTGTGCCTGTAATGACGTTGCCTAATGTTTGAGCTAAAAATAAATTCCCTGCCGTTGCTTGTGACTATTGCTATTTGTTCTTTCTCATTAATTGTCGGGGTCCAGTGAGTTTTATTATCCCTCCTTATCTTTGTAGAAATCTGTTATTGTTCT